GGAAGTTGCAAAGTGAATTAATGACTATTTGGACAAGGTTTTAGTTCAAAGTATTACCATCTAAAGGAAAAGCATTTATCTTCTCCCATTTTAGGAAACAGTGGGATACTTCACAAAAGAGAATTGCTCTCTTTTTATAATGTAATTTTAAGAAAATACCATTTCACATTAAATATTTCTAACTCCTTCTTGAATAATGTGATTCTATTAAATTCTTTTTTGTGCCAACACAGTTTCAAGTAATGAGACAATATTGCCAACTGCAAGATCTCCTTGTGGTTATGTGTCTTTCCAGTGTTGTAATTCTCTTGTTGCTGGGTTTTTGTTTTGTGTTGTTTTAAAGAAAACCCTATCTCTTGTGGTTTATTGGTATGGAGTTATACTGCCAAAACAAAGTTACATGGTTGGATATCTGGCAGCTGCTACGCAGGAGAAAGATGGGCAATCAACTTCCTGTGCTTTACAACCTCTGAAAACCTTCTGGAGTATCCTCTACGAATCAGTTCTAACTTGATGAACACAACAACATCCTAAACTAGGCTCACACATTCAAACAGTTGAAACACAGGTGGAAGTTTAAAAGTCAGTCACTAAACCACCAAATCAAAATTCCTACTGTTGCTCTCTTTCATTTCTGTTTATTCTAATGAGTCCTTCGTGTAAAATATTACACAATCAATGTGCAGCTAATCCTGTAGCTTCGTTTGTTTGCTTGTTCTGTTCCAAAAAACTCTTCCCTTCAAAGTAATTTTCCTACTCATCAAAGATGGCATATTTTCAGGTAATGGGCAGTCTATTCAAATTTTATGTCAGTAATAGTCACATATTTTCCATTCCATTCACTTTATATCTTTCAGAGGGAAAAAAATAGAAAACTTATCAAAGAACTGTTGGAATTTTAAGATCCTGGATACTCTGTTTAAGCTTTATGAATTTATGTTCTGTATTGCAAACTGAGACCCTTCCTCAATGTTGACCTACATTAACCACACCTATGTCTTCCTTACAATTCTATCTCTGACTTTTCTGAAGTCCTTCTCCCGAGCCTCCTCTTTAGATCATTTTTTATCTGGAAATTTCAATATACCCTCTGATGTCATAGGTTTCAATCTTGCTGTTTGGTCAAATGCATCATGTTCTAAATCTATTGAGAAAATGAAAACTGATGGAATAATCATTATAAATCAAAGACCACCACACAAATAGACCCTCAGTGGATAAATGGAGAATGAGTGGAGATTGTGAAAATTGCTAATTTGCCTAGTGGTGGGGTAAACTAGTATTTCATACACCTACTAACCAAAAGGCTAGCAGTTTGAATCCACATAGAAGTGTCTTGGAAGGAAGGTCTGGTGACCTTCAAAAAAAATAAGCTGTGGACACACTATGGAGCACAGTCCGGCTTTAAAACATATAGAATAGCTATTAAGTCAGGAGGACTTCACAACAACCTATAACTCATAGAATCAAATTTCCTATTTTATGAAAGAAAAAAAATGAGTTCTTATATTAGTTCTTCCAAAAATCATGCCAAAAGCTAAGGGTGTTGGTATGAGTAGTCAATTTGGTTGCTGATCTCAAGGAGAACTTGAGAGGGTGGGTATGTAAGATAGGATACTCAGTGGTCACCTGGAGCTCATTGTTACTGCAGAAACTCTGAGACACTGTGAAAAACTTCTTTCCAAATTGCCCTGCCTACAATGATTCTGTGATATTTTAAACTCCTGTTCTGCATTGCTTCATGGTAGCTCAATTAGTACTATTTCCTGGCCACCCTTAAATTGGTAGAAACTGGACCATACTCAGATAATGACATCTGGCAGAAAAATGGCTTTGGTGTGTACAACTTCCTGTGCCAGCCAACTAGCAGAGATGTGCACGAACAGAATCCATCAAAGTCACAGGTCATTCAGGACATATAATACGAAAAGCAATGCTGGACCTAATTTACCTTTATCAGATATTCCTACCAAAATACAGATATGTGACCATAAAGCAATAATGATGGGTCCTTCAAATACTTTGTAACATGAATGAATCCAGAGGACACTGGGATGAGAAAAATATGGCAATCACAAGAGAACAAATATCATACGGTCTGTCTTTTATAGAGAGACAAGAACAGGTATCCAGGAGCCAAAGATTATTGGTGATTAGCAGGGATATGTGAGGGATCACTCCTTCGACAGTGGTTACTTGTTATTATTGAGGAAAGCTAACGCTGAATGAGGGTGAAGCAGGCAAACTTGGTCAGAGCAAATGATGTCACTATCACAAATGTTGTGGCATATGCAATTTCGTGCTAACAGCCAAAAAGATCTGTTGTTACAAATATATTGACATATACATATATGTCTATGTGTGCATCTAGATGTGCATAAATCATGCTTGTTAATCGGTGCTGTCGAGTCAGACTCATAGCAACACTGTGAACAATAGATGTGAACCCTGTCCTATCATGTGCCATCCTCTCTATTTCTGATACACTTGAGCTTATGGCTGTAGTCACTGTGACAATCCATCTGGTTGAGGGTCTCCCTTTATTCCACCTCGCCTCCATCCTTCTAAGCATGATATCCCTTTCCAAGGATTAGTCATTCATAACAACGTGCCCAAAGCATGTAAGACAAAAGCTTTGTCAACTTGACCTCGAAGGAGCATTCTGGCAGGACCTTCTCCAAGACACATCCATTTGTTCTCTTGGAATGTTCAGTATTCTTCTCCAATACCACAACTGAAAATCATCTATTCTTCTGTTGTCCTTATGCATTATCCAGCTTCCAGATGCACAGCGAGTGATTGACAAGACCATGTCCTGAATCAGTTGCACCTTAGTCTTCAAAACGGGCATTGTAGTTTCTCAACAATCTGAAGAGGACCCCGACTGAAGACTGAGTGTCCTATGGAGTTGATCATGAATACAAGTATGATTAAATCACTGACAATTTCAATTGTTTCTCCCTCCATCCTGATGTTGTCAATCAGTCTTAGCAGTGAGACTTTTTGTGTTCTTGATGCTGAGATATCATCCACATTGAAGGCTACACTTTTACCTTCCTCAGCAAGTGTTTAAAATCCACCTCACTTTCAGCAAGCAAGGTTGTGTCACCCGCACAAGTTGCCTGAGTCTTCATCGAATTCTGATACTGCATTCATCTTCATAGAGTTCAGCTTGTTGAATGAATTTTTCAGCATAACACATTCAATAGGTATATATACAACTCACACCTTTCTCAATTTTAAGCCAAACCTTGTTATAAGTGCATATATAGATGCATATATAAGCAGGAGTGGCATCCACTTCCTAAACAACATGACTCTGGAAACTCTATGAACTTTGATAAATGTCGATAGTTGTAGAGGGACATCAGGCCTTTTGTTCATAGGGTCGCTATGAGTCGTGTTCAATTTGAAGGCAATCAACAACAACATATGCCTATATCTATATGTATACATAAATAAAAATAGATGCAAGAAAGCACAAAGAGGACTCTCACTTGCTGATGCATCTAAAGACTTAACATCTTCTGGGATTGGTTTTCATGATTTTAAGATTTAGGACCATATTTGGATGGCACAACTTGGTCAAGTGACTTAAATTAAAAAAGTGTACGTTCTACATCTCAGTTTGGTGAGCAGTGTCTCAAGTCTTAAGAGTTTGCAAGCATCTCAGAGACAACTGTAAGTCTGTACATATAAAGAGCAAGAAAACAAAGAAGGTAACCAGTAACAGGAAAAACCAATATACTTGAGTGGTAGTCAACAGAAACCATGATTTCACCTGCACTGGGACTAGAAGAACCAGATGATGCCTGCTAGCACGAACAACTGCTCAAATTAAGAAGAGAATAGTTGATCTAGGCCATGGATTTTGCAACTACAACTATGCATCAGAAAGCCGGACAATGATTAGGGATGACAGAAGGAGAATTGATGCCTTTGAGCTGTGGTGCTGGTGTGTTGAATACACCATGGACTGCCAGGAAGACAAACAGGTTCATCCTAGAGAGAGTGAAGCCAGGCTGCTCCTTGGAAGCCATGATTCTGAAACTGTGACATACTTTGGGTATGTTGCAAGGAGGGACCAGTCCTTGGAGAGGCACATTATGCTTGGGAGCGTGGAGGGACAGCACAAGAGACAAAGACTCTTGATGAGATGGATTTATTTGGTGACGGGGGTGATGGGGGTAAGTGTGTCAGAGACAATAAGGTTGGCTCAGGATAGACAGGGTTCGGACCTGCTGTGCATAAGGGTTGCACCGAGTCACAGGCAACTTGACGGCACATAACAACAAGAGAGTAAAAGACAAAATGTACACCTGAACTCAACTCTTTGCAAGGCCAGACTTAATAGTTGACACAATAGACTCCTTGTGATTATTATCCTGAGGTACTCGCTAAATTTGTATATAAAGTATGTCCTGAGGCCATCCAATCGCTGAAACTACAGATATTTACTAGAAGCCAGTGAGCTTTACAACAAATGTACAAACAACAGAAAGATAAGATGGAAACATTAAAATAAATGGTTGCCCTATTTTTCACAAAAGTAATGTTTCATGTGCTCATTTGTCATCAAGTTTGGCTTGAGCCAAGACATTATAAATTGAAGTTAAAAATACCTTAAAAATATTACACGTGTTGTTTAAATTTGCATTATAGGTAATTCCTACAGATGCTGTCTTTTAGAAAGCCAAGACTAATAAATCACATACTCCCTTCAAGGAATGTTCCCCCCTCTAAATATGTTGTATTTGTATCATTAGGTATTAATTTTATATTAAAAATATTTTTTAAAAATTAAAATAAGCATCAGCTATAATAATTTTAAAACTAGTTATGATTTGAAACTTTAAACTTTGATATCTATAAACTATGATTTGTACATTTATGGGATATATATACACACACAGAAAGAGAGAAAACGAGAGAGAGAAGAGACAGAGACACAGAGAGACCATGTTTTTTTAATAAAGACATACAGCATAAACTATACTAACCTTATGTTGTTGAACTTGGCGTTTTAAGTCTTCAAGGTCAGGTCCAAGGGGCTCTTCCTCCATTTTCCTTGTCCTCTCTTCTGTTTTTGTTAGCCAGTCATTTAACTCTTTCAGCTGTTGATTCTGGAGATCCATCAGGACCTTATGCAAACTAAAAATTTGAAAGGAATATATGATTATCTTTATTTAAGACACCTTAATTTCACTAAAGTTACAGTTAGGTAAAACTGCTGACATTTGTAATTTATAGTAAGTTTACATTTTTTGACAGTTACTAACGTTATATAGAAAGATAATTAGAGTTAGTCTCTGTCTCTCCCTCTCTCATTGCCTTCAAGCCAGAACTGATTTACAGTGTTCCAGTGGGTTTTCAGAAGCTATATATCATTTGTTATGCATCAGAGAGTTGGACAATGACCAAGGAGGATAGAAGAATTGATGCCTTTGAACTGTGGTGCTGGAGAAGAGTATTGAGGGTACCATGGACTGCTAGGAAAACAAACAGATTCATCCTGGATAAGGTTAAATCAGGCGACTCCTCGGAGGCAAGGATTCTGAGGCTTTGTCTAACATACTTTGGATATGTTGTAAGGAGGAACAGGTCCTTGGAGAGAGACATCATGCTTGGGAGGGTGGAGGGCAGGCGCAGGAGGGGAAGGCCCTCTGTGAGTTGGATTGATTCAGTTACTGGGGTAATCAGGATGGGTGTGTCTGAGACGGTGCGATTGGCACAAGACAGAACAGAGTTTAGGGCTGTTGTACATAGGGTCACTATGAGTTGCATGCAACTCGACGGCACATACCAACAACATATATCACATGAGAGAAGACTGCCCATATTTCTGGATGGACTTGTTGGTGCTTTAGAACTGGGCCACTATTAGGTTAACAGTGCAATTTCTTAGGGGCTATATTCTATTTTAAATGTATTATAGTTTACATACTTCAGTTAAAAAAAGTCACAGAGGGAAGTAAACAAAAACGTGTTAATAAGAGCTATCAATGAGAATTGAGCCAGCTAAATATACTGTTGATCATTTGTTCCATTTTCAGATGCTTAGAATGCAACCAAAAAGATCACAACTTAGAACAGGCACACCTCAATCTTTAGGTGCAATTAAGTCCACTACATTCATAGAAATTATATTTTAGAAATTTTTTATTGTGAATTGTGTGAAAGTGTACAAAGAGCTTGGTTTTCATTCATTCAAATACATTTTCCTTCCTACCTCTCCCCTAATCCTTCAATACACTTTTTAACGCTTCTCCTGTTCCAGATAGTTACTTCTCATGTAATTGTCCAATTCTTTCTGATTGAACTTCCCTTCACTTATTCTAGTGCAGTATTAATTCTTGTTGTTATGTGCCCTCAGGTTGCCTGTGACTCAGAGACCCTATGTACAACAACCCTACACCCTACTCTATCCTGTGCCAACTTTATTGTCTCTGACACACCTACTCACATCATCCCAGTCACTGAATCAATTCATCTCATCAAGGGTCATCTTCTCTTGCTCTGTCCTTCCACCCTCCTAAGCACCCTCTCCAAGGACTTGTCCCATCTTACAACATGTCCAAAGTATGTTAGATGAAGCATCAGAAGCCATGCCTCCCTGAAGCAGTCTTGTTTAGCCATCTCTAGGATGAACCTGTTTGTTCTCCTGACAGTCCATGGTATATTCAATACTCTTTTGCAGCACCACAGCTCAAAGGCTTCTATCCTCCCTAGTCATTGTCCAGCTTTCTGATGCATAGTACACAATTGTGAAGACTGTGGCCTGGATCAGGCACACCTTGGTCTCCAGACTGACATAGTTGCTCTTCAGTACTTTGGAGAAGTCTCTGAAAGTAGATTTTTCCAATGTTATTAGTCTTTTTATTTCCTGGCTGCTGGTACCAAGAGTGTTGATCGTGGAGCCAAGCAAACTAAAGTGGTTAACAATCTCAATCTCTTCAACATTTGTCAGGATACTGCCAATCAGCCCAGTGGTGAGAATCTTTGTTTTCCTGATGTTGACCTTCAATCCATATCCTCCTCAGTTTCAACAAGCAGGGTTGTGTCATCTACAGAACACAGATTGTTGATGAATCTTCCACCAATCCTGATGTCACATTTCTGTTAATACAGCCTAGCCTCTCTGATAATCTGTTCTGCATATAGACTGTAAAGGAATTGAGTTAGGACACATCCCTGGCATACACTCTTCTCAATTTTGAATCATTCAGTGTTTCCTTGCTCTGTTCTGACGACTGCTTCCTGGTCCAAGTATAGGTTTTGCATATTTATACATTTATTTGCATGCTTTTCTCCACCCTCCATGTATCCATCTTATACATCTTATATAGCAGTGGTCCTATGCAGTCTTTGTCCTTTGGAGACTGAGATATTTCATGCAGCATAATGTTTTTCAGTCTCATCAATTTATTTCATTGCATGGTTGGGCCCAAGTTTATCTATCCATTTGTTTATTTATAGCACTTGGGCTGCTTCCATCTCTTTACTATTGTGAGTAACACTACAATAAACTTGGGTGCACATACAGCTCTGATTTCTTTGGGGTATATTCCCAGTAGTGTGATAGTTAGGTCAAATTGTATTTCAATTTTTTAAATTTTGAGGAAATGCCAAACTGCCTTCTATAGTGCTTGTATAATTTTCTATACCCTTGAGCAATGTACGAGAGTCCTGATCTCTCTATATACTTGCCAACATTTATTAACAGAACAAATCATTGTCCTGTATTATCCTCATCACAGTATATATGTTTGAGCCCATTGCTGAAGCACTCTCTCAATCAGTCCATCTTATTGAGGGTCCCTCTTTATTGCTATCCTTCAACCAGGCATGATGTCTGAAAATATGTCCAATGCTCTGTAGATGAAGTCTGACCATCCTTGCTTCTAAGAAGCAATCTCATTGTATTTCTTCCAAGATATATAATTCTTTCTAATCCTGGGAGTTATTGGTATATTCAATATTCTTCACTAACACAATAATTCAAATGTGTCAATTCCTTTTTAGTCTGTCTTCCTCCCTTTTCTAGGTTTTCAATGCTTTTGAAGCAACATAAATATCATAGTCTGGGACACATAAATATTCCTCTCATTGACATATTTGGGTTTTAAAGAAATAAAATTCAATCCTTGGAAACGTCAATCTTTTTTCCAGTTAGCTTATTGCTTATTTATTTTTGTGTATAAAATTAAACCTCTACAAATCTTTAAGTCATTCATTCCATGTTGCCATGAAAGTTCCAGGTCCTTCAATGTCTTTCTTTTTCTGAGCTACCCCTGTCCTTAGAAGTACAGCCCTAATGTTCCTTAGGAATAAGGAGGGTGGGTTTTTTATCTCACATGCTCTGCACATGTTATCAGAAGAGGCCAGTTCTAGGAGGAGGATATCATGCTCCATAAAGTAGAATGTAAAAGAACCAAAAATGAGATGTGTTGCCAATAGTGACTATAACAATATGTTCAAGCAAAGAAAATGTTGTGAAGATAGCACAGAACCACATATTGTTCTGTGCACAGGGAATTCTGGTATCTTAGGGTAAGGAATTGTAGTGTCAGCACCAAGGTACAGGGTTTGAATTCATCAGCTGCTCCATGAGAAAAAGACGAACAATCATCTCCCATGAGATTTACTGTCTCTGGCAATCTGCTTCACATGCATAGGAAGCAAGTGCATAGCATTTGGCAAAAGCAAAAACATAGGTGATGGATGTTATTATGATTCTAAACAGTGTGTGTTCGTCTTGAATATGAAGACAAATCACGTGGAAAGGAAGTTAAAATAAAAAGTCCAATTCTCAGTTTGGAGCTAGAGTTTTACATTTCTAACAAGCGCCCAAAGCTATAGATGATGAAGGTTCATGGGCCACACGTTGCAAAATTAGAAGCCATTTTGTTTAATTTTCCATTACTTGCAGTAAATGTGGAGCCTACGTCATATTAGACGCTAATAAACACCTTAAACTCCTTGAAGTTGAATCCTTTAGACTCATATGGATCCACGAATCTATTGAGTCCCATGAGTACATTGTGTTTCCGTGGTTCTAAATTGCACAGAGAGAGACTACCTGTCATGTTCCCAGGGCACCACTGGTGGATTTGAATCACCCCAGAAAAAGCCTTTGGGTTAACAGTGTATAGATTTTTCACATAATTGTACTAAAGATTCAGACCTTTATCCTGAAACCCGTTGTAGGAATATGTCTCTTGCACATGAAGGAAACCAACAAGAAAATACAATCTATTGTACAGATACTGTATTTTTTTTGTTTCCTTCTCTTTATTGTGATTTGAGAAATAGTTGAGAGCTAAATTATTTTCTATTCAAGAATTCACACGTATTTTTAACCCACTCAATTTGCTACACTGTAACCAACTCTTCTCATTTCTTCCCTAAGATTCAAATATTATTCATCTTTCTCCCCCGTTCTTTTCGGTTTTCTGAACTTTATCTTTCAGTAAATACTATCCTTCAGATGTAATATGGTGGTTTAGCTAAGGAATAGTGCCTTTCTGTTATTATTTTCCATCATACGAACCTATGTGTAGTCACCAAGGGGGTGAATGTTGTTCCAGGTTCAAACATTGAGTATGTGGGAACATCTTGAGAGTTTAATTTGTTTTTTTTTATTGGACTAGTAAGCCTCACCATTTTCATCAAGTTTTTATAAATTCTTAATTCATTTCTCACCCACTCCTTTGAGGACCTGCTACTTTGATCCTTCTGAGAGAGGTCAGCAGTGGGTGCTGGGCACCATCGAGTTCATCCAGTCTCAAGGTCATAGAAGTTGAAGGTTGTGTCTTACGGACGGAGTAACTGTTATAATATGGAAGGCCATTTCTCCTCTAACCACAGCTGTACAATTTACTAAAATGATAGAAATGGTCTAGATCTGTACTACCCAATATGAAAATAGCCACTCTAAACATGTTGATATTGCCAGTTCTTGTTGTGTGCCATCATGTCAGAATTAACTCATACCTGACCCTCCCATGGGTTTTCAGAGGCAGTAAATGGCACCTGAGGACATTGCCTATCTTTGTCCTGTAGAGTAGCTGGTAGGCTTGAACTGCCTGCCTTTAATTTGGCCACACAACTCCTTACCACTAAGCCACTATTTGTTTTTATGTGCCGTCGAA